GTGTTTCAGATCCTTGGCTCATCATAGGTGACTTTAATGCTACTTTATCTCCCCAAGATAGACAAGATGGAGTTCCTGTTACACTGAATGAAATCAAGGAGTTTGAAGAATGTGTTAAGGATATAGGGGTTACTGAAGTACATTGGAGAGGTAGTTATTATACCTAGACAAATAAACAGGTTGGTACTTCCAGAATTGCCAGTAGAATAGATAGAGCCTTTGGGAATGATTGTTGGATGGACAAATGGGGTCATGCTGTTCTAGAATATGGAATGCCATGTGTATCAGATCATAGTCCTATGCATTTGCTACTGCAGCAGAGTAATCACCAGATCAGAGTGGGATTCAAATTCTTTAATGTGTGGATTGAGCATGAGTCTTTTATGGAAATGGTGGATACAATCTGGAAGCAGGAATATGGAAGTGATGTAATGAGAGGAATATGGTATAAGCTGAAAGACCTCCAACCAGTCTTGAGGCAAATGAATAAGAAAGAGTTCCAATTCATAGGGAAAAAAATTGAGAAGGCAAGAAGTGATCTTAAAGAACTGCAAGAGAAGCTTTACAATCAGGCCCAAGATGATCTAGTTATTAAAGAGAAGGAATTATTAATTCAGCTGGAAAAATGGTCAATGCTAGAAGAAAATGCTTTAAGGCAAAAAGCAAGAGCTAGATGGATTACTTTGGGAGATTCCAACAATAAGTATTTCAGCTCAGTGATAAAAGAAAGGAATCAAAAGAAGAATATAAGGAGTATTTTATCTCTAGATGGACAGATGGTGTATGAGCCTCAGGAGATTCAAGAGGAGTTTGTTAAATTCTATAAAAGTCTTATAGGGTCCTCAGCAGGTGAACTTCCAGCTATCAATGTTCAGGTGATGAAGAGAGGTCCAGTATTATCAAGACAACAAAGAATTCAACTATGCACAGATGTAACAGAACAAGAGATTTATGCAGCATTGAAGTCTATTGGGAATGATAAGGCACCAGGCATAGATGGTTATAATGCATTATTCCTTAAGCATACATGGAAGATAGTTAAGAAAGATGTTATTACAGCTGTCACACAGTTCTTCACAACAGGGAAATTGTTTAAGCCTTTCAACTGTACTCTTGTGTCTCTAATTCCAAAGGTGCAAAGTCCTAAAACTTTGAAGGAATTCAGACCTATAGCTTGTTGTACTGTGATCTATAAAATTATTTCAAAGGTGATAACAAGGAGAATGCATGATGTTATGCCTGATATTATTTGTGAAAGTCAAGCTGGATTTATACCAGGGAGGAAAATTGTAGACAACATCATATTAGCTCATGAGCTGGTTAAGTCTTATATTAGGAAGAACATATCTCCTAGGAGTATGATGAAGATAGACTTGCAGAAAGCTGATGACTCAGTTGAATGGATTTTTTTAGAACAAGTAATGGGAGGACTGGGATTCCCAGACATGTTTATTCAATGGGTAATGAAGTGTGTGAAAACAGTGAATTACACTATTGTTGTGAATGGGCAAACCACTCAGAGATTTGATGCAGCAAAAGGACTGAGACAAGGTGATCCTATGTCACCGTTCTTGTTTGCTATAGCAATGGAATATCTCAGTAGATTACTTAGAGGACTCAAAGAAGAAAAAATGTTCAAGTATCATCCCAAGTGCTCTAAGCTGGCTATCACACATTTATGCTTTGCAGATGATCTTCTATTGTTCTCAAGGGGAGATCTGGATTCTATCAAGATACTACAGAGATGCTTTTCTGACTTCTCTCAAGCCTCAGGATTGCAAGCAAATCTTACAAAAAGTTCTATCTTTTGTGGAGGAGTGCAAATGGAAGTAAAGCAAAAGATTGTACAGCAGATGGGCTATATAATGGAGGAACTGCCTTTCAAATACTTGGGAGTGCCCCTCTCGACAAAGAAATTGAGCATAATACAATGGTATCCCCTCATTGACAAGATCATGGCAAGAATCAAGTCATGGACAGCAAAAAAACTGTCATATGCTGGAAGAACACAACTTATCAAGACTGTCTTGTTTGGAGTTCAATCCTACTGGGCATAGTTATTTATCATACCAGCTAAGACAATAAAAGTGATTAAAGGACTATGCAGAAGCTACTTATGGTCAGGGGTTGGAGATGTTACAAAGAAGGCCTTGATAGCATGGGAGAAAGTGTGCTGTCCTAAAAGTGAAGGTGGCATATGATTGATTAATATGAAAGTATGGAATAGAGCTGCGATTGCTAAATTGTGATGGGATTTAGCTAACAAGGAGGATAAACTCTGGATCAAATGGGTTCACACTTACTATATAAAGGGGCAAAGAGAGTGGCAAAGGAGGAAACAAGCAAGCTGGATGATACAAAAGATCATGAGTGTTCAACAAAGTGTGGAGCAAGTCCAGCAGCAACAAAGGAAGAATAAAGGGGTGATTAGACAACTGTATGAACACATGAAAGGGGAACATCAAAAGCCAGAGTGGGACAACCTTATGTTCAGCAATGCTGCAAGACCCAAAGCTTACTTCACAATGTGGATCATGCTGAATCAAAGGCTGATGACAGTAGATAGGCTAGCTCAGTGGGGAATTGAAGTAGAGAAGATATGTGTGATGTGTAAAAGGGAAGAAGAAACTGCAGAGCACCTGTTTATCCAATGTAATTATGCAAGAAGAATGTGGGATAGATTGTTAAGCTCAATAGAGAGACATACTCAAGTGCCAATGACTTGGGAGCAACTTGTACAATGGACCATTATGCATGGGAAAGGGAAGAGGTCAGCTGCGAAAATGTTCAAGACTGTGCTTGCTGAAGGAGTCTATGGATTGTGGAAAGAGAGAAATAGTAGAATCTTTGAACACAAGAGTAGAAATGAGGAACAACTAGTTAACGAGATAGTCTACATTACTATTGTTAGAACTAATCATTTGGCAGTTAAGTAGTTAGTAGTGTAGGTAGAGTTGTTAAGTTGTTTTTCATGGTTTGATTAAGTTTGAAGTATGCTGTGATAGCTACTTGGTTTGTAAGGTTTGTTCTTGGTAATTAATAAAATGTAGTTACCAAAAAAATAATAATAGTAATAATAATAATAATAGTAATAATACTTCTCCTCTCCAAATGCTCTCGACGCAAGTTAACTGACGTGCACAGTGCAGGTGAAAATGGCGAGGGGAAGAGAAAGAGGGCGAGGAGGAGGCCGGAAAACATCAATACTAACAGTTGGTAGCTTAGTTGGAGCTCGAGTGGAATAAATCGAGTTGAATAAGCAGGAACAAGCTCAAAATGAGGAAGGTAGTTCTGAAGGTAGACTCTCTGTGAGTTCTAAAGTTTCATGGAATTTGAGCTTAAACTATTCACTAGAGAAGGAAGAGGTACATGGTAACTCAGATCTAGAACATTCTGATGGTGAGAATAAGATGGATATCAATGGAACAGTAACTGAAGATGGCAACAGTAAGAGAGGTATAGAAGGGGAGAAAAGTAAGGAACATAAGGAGCCTTGGGTTAATATGTTTAAAAATAATCGTGCAGCTAACAATGGAATGAACTTGACTTACTTTCCTCCACAAATAGTGAATGGGCAAACTATGATTCAGCTGGAAGGGAAAGAGGTACATATTGAAGAAGAAAAGTGGAAATGTGCACTTATAGCCTATGTAATTGGTGAATGTCCTGGATATAATACTATGAATAGGTACATACTGTTGAACTGGTCGAAAATGGATATACTTGATGTATTTCTTCATGAGGAAGGATACTATATAATCAAGTTTAAGAGCTTGAATGCCATGAATGAGGTGCTATATTCAGGGCCATATACTATAAGTAATAGGCCTATTATATTGAAGCAATGGAGTCCTGATTTTGATTTTGGGAATGAGTTCTTAACTGAAATACCTCTATGGGTTAACTTTCCTAAATTGCCTCTAAATTGTTGGGGAGCTGGATCACTGAGTCGAATTGCTAGTGCTATATGAGTGCCATTATTTGCTGATGAGTGTACTACAAAGCAGACAAGAATATCCTATGCTAGAATGCTTATTGAAGTAAATGTTACTAAGCCTATTCCTCAGAAGATAACAATCATGGATCCAAATGGTAGAACTTTTATGCAGGATGTTGTGATGGAGTGGAAGCCTCTATATTGTGAGAAATATCAGAAGATTGGACATCAATGTCAATCAGCAACAATGGAGGATCTGCCAAAGAAGAGAAGGCCATGGAAAAAGATACACAGACTTGGCAATATAAAGGACCAAACCAACAGCAGGAAAAGAAGGGTGAACAAAGAAAGGTGCTAGAGAATATAGAAGACGATTCTTTTCTGTGCAAGAGGAGAAACAAGAGATAGAACAAAGAAGAGATCAGGAAATAAAGCAAACACCAGAACTTAATCTAAGGCCTAATACTGGAAGCAAGCAGCTGGAATTCAGTTTGTCCAATTTTCCTATGTTATCAGCCATACCAATGAGAAATGGATTTGAGAGCCTCATGAATAGCAAGTTGGCTTCACTGCCTGTGGATAGAGGTGGAGCTTATAAAACTTGTTAATGAAGTGGAGTTTTTGGAATGTGAAAAGCATGAATAAGAGGTATAAGCAGAAAGATATAAAGCTGTTTTTACATCTTAATAAAGTATCCTTAGCAGTGTTAATTGAAACTAGAGTGAAAGAGGTAAATGCAAAAACTACAATTAATGGTATAGCTCCACGATGGAAAAGTCTGAAAATTTACAAGAAGGCTGTTAACGGGAGAATTTGGATTATATGGGATGATAGTTGGTATGATGTTAAGCTAAGAACTAGTTCAGCTTAGATGATACATTGTCATATAAATAAAAGAAGTAAAGGTTATCAGTTTAATCTCACAGTAGTATATGGATTTAATACAATAGAGCAGATGAAGAGTTTATGGACAGATATGAACAAGATGGTTCAAAATGTTACACAACCATGGCTCATAATAGGAGATTTTAATGCTCTTTCTTCACCCAAGGATAGACTAGCT